TACTCAATTGTAAACATTTCAATTCTAATGCTCAGTCGACAATGAAGGTTATTCCATTGGCTGATAATTTAGGTAACTGGCAACCTCTTTGCTGCTATAGGCTTGTAGTTTTATCCCTTTTTCGCACATCAATTTGCACCCCTAAGTTTAATTGCGTGAATATATTTAGCCTAAAGTGTGTCGTAAGTGTAGAAGTTTTTAATAAAGAAAGAATTATTTGCAAATGTGATGTCATTACAGACATTCTACATAAAGAACTGTGTGTACACTTTTATACATTATGTAAAGATAGCTCATGCGAAACCTAACTAAACGACATAACTTGATTAAAACTTGTGGGAGATACACAAAAGGAACATGTTTTTCTTAAACAGTATCTTTTTAATAAATTATTACTTGAGAAAATTGTAATCTAAAATCTTGATTAATTTCAAATGTATTTGAGTCAAGATTTGTGTAAAATGATTTCGGATTTCTGTACCTAAATGTAAGTTTGAATTATTAAGTTTCGGTTGGTTGCCAAATTCCACTACAATATAATATTACAATGCATGTTACACTGTCAATGAGCTTTTTGAGTATATAGTTGTTGATACTTTCTAATGAAAAATGTAGTTATTCTAGCTGTAGATAGCGCATGAATAATAGTTATTGTTAATGTACCACATGATGTAATATTTTCAGATTTCGACTAACTCTTAAAAACACGTCAAAACAATTATCACCGTATTAAAGCTTAATTTTAATGCAATTGTATCCACCGACCATTTAATGTCATGTTGCAACTTCCCTCTGCTATTCCGAATTCAAGCTAATATTAGAATGTATTGTGTCGGCTCTCACACAGCTACATCTTGTCAGTATGGGTTGGGGTTTAGGGAAATGAAACATTGTTCTGTCTGATACGTTAATTATTTCTTTATTATCAAGGAAAAATACTGAAATGTTACAGTACATAGGTCATTATAAAACATTAGAAAGATTCGTCTCACCGTAATCCTAAACACGTGACCGATCACTAACTAGTAATAAATGAGTATATAAAAGTGTGCCGCTGGCCGGAGCCAACAGCTCACGCGTGTGTACGTTGCAGGCGGCGGCGGCTGG